TCAAAATATGGTAAATTTCTGATTTCACACCTCATATAGGCTTATTTTCTAACTTGTCTACCAATAAGATGAAAATTTTTGATTCATCCATCATCAAATAAAGGAGAAAATACTAATTTTTGTCAATCTTGATGAACTACCAGCTAGTAATCATATAAATGCAAATATTAACTTATGCATAATTATTTTATTAAAGGGTATTTAATCATATAAAATTCAACTATTTATTAGGTTATGTGATATATAAGTCGTGTAGATAGCCTTTTTTTTATGTTAAATTTCATTTATTTTTGATGATTAATATTTTTTTTGATTATTTTTGCTCGTTCATTCTTTGAATATATTATTATTAATATTTTAAAAAGGATTTATATACCAAAAATTGTTATTTTTAGATTATAGATATTATTCAAAATATATTTATTTTTATAGTAGATATAAAAAGAGAAAGAAAAAATAAAGGAAATAAAATTATTATAGTTGTTTTCCTTCATATTATTTGTTTCATTGCTTTCAAAACTTCGCGCAAAAGAGTAAAATAAAAGAAAAAATAAAACATTAATGGTAAAAATCTTTAAATATATTTATACAAAGTTAAAAGAACAAATTGAAAAACGCCCAACAAATTAAGTAGTTTTTCTGGAACCCTTACTTAATTCACCAGAGCTTTGAGTAAGCTTGCATTTTATAATGATATGGATCCATTCTTCAATAAGATCAATATCCATTTACTGATAATTTATCTAAATCTGAGGCATCTTGACCTTGTGTATGCAATGTGAATTATCTAAAATAAAATGTAATATAAATTACCTATATTTTTAAGGTCTTCTGGTGAGGTATCTTGGGTATTATATAAAATCACCACCATTAAAATTAAAATATATAATCTAGAATCACATGATAGAAATTACTATATGCTAAGATATTTATTATGATTATCATTGGATAAATATTTAAAAGAATACTATTGGCTGAATTTGATTGACATTTTTTAATGATTATTTCTCGACAAATTTGTGAATTTATGATATTTAATGTAAATTCGTAACTAATTATAAATCAATAACCTTAATTTCTAAATTGGACGTGAAAATATGTATCTAATTTTATTGTGGGACGGAGTATATAGATATCAAAGCATTTTGATTTTATTATTATTATAAGTAGAATTAATTTAAATTGAATTATTGTCATTGTATGCTTTACCATTCAATTCACTTAAACATTTTAAAAAAAATTAGTCAAACCTAAAACTAGTCCAGAATCCATTTAGAAAATTACTCAATGCTTTACTGAGCACTTTTTAAAAAAAAACTATGTAGAGGTTTTGCCAATAAGGTATTCCGGTATAAGACCTATCCTAAAATTTTAGACAATCAGGCAAAATCATTTTAATTAAGATGGTATATTGACAATACACTTTGCCGATAAAATAGGTAGATTTTCACCAATAATATCATTCAAATATTAATGTTATTACGTTATTTAATCTTTAATAATATTAATTCAAATTCAAATAATAAGACCTAAATTAAGATGTATTTCATATATTTTACTACTTTACTATCAATTTTAAAAATATTATTATTTAAATGACAAAAAATTAATGTAATAAATTGAACTATCAGATTTTTATTATTGGATAATTAATTAATACAAATTGACCGAAAAGGTGGTGGTATGGGACTGGGGTTAATTAAATCTTTGGCATATAGCACCTATAAATGATTTGCAATTAATTTTTTATATTGTTTATATAATTAGATGTGTATTTGGATAAAAATTAAAAATTATTTTATGATGCAAGGTTGATTTAATGAACGCAACAACCATCTATATATAAATTAAACTAATAAAAACTTGATTTTAAACATTAATTTTTAACTAGTTAATATATTATTTGATGAATATTATTGTAGATATAACTGATAGATGTTGCTATCATGTGGAATTACTGATGAGAGTTTCTACCCTGGAAAATCTTGTTTTTCTTAGGATATACCCAGCAATACTAATTCTTGGATATATTAGAAATTCAATTGCTTTTGTCTATCTATTATGCAAGTAAAAGTTTCCTAGAAATCATAAAAAAAAATTTGGATAATATATACCAAAAAACCTTTTTATTTATTTTTATTATTTTATAGTAAATAATATATATAAAAATCAACATTTATAAATATATAAAAATAGTTAGTTTTAATTATAAAAAAATTTATATAATATAAAAATATATATATTTGGTAATATTAATTTTTTATTTATTTTGTATGCATTTTAATAATAAAATCCTTTCAATATTATTATTTCCAAGTCTAGAGCGACTAATATAGGTTTTGCCTTACTCAGTAATCCTTCAACACTAGCACTTGAGCATGGGATAGAGTTTTAATCATCATGGTAAATGATGGATTATCAACCAAAGACATTGGCGGAACTGTTATCAATTATAAAATCAACAATAACTTTATCAGCCAGTTTCTGAGAAATTGGCATGTGCATAATTAATCAATATCAGTAGCAAATTAAATATGAAATAACAATTAATAATGGGCTCATGATATTAAGAACTAACTATGGGAAAACAATTATTATAAATATATCCATAGTATTATAGTATTATAGTGCGCACAAATTGAGCGTTTAAAAAGCCAATAATTCATTTCAAATGCATTCGTTTAAATTGAACGCTTTGCCGTTTACCAATTGCACCCATTATAAAAAAACGTAATTTGGTTTGCTTTTTCTGAGCGCTTTTTTTAAAAATAATTTTCAAAAAATGGAGACCACTACTTAATTATTTGTGTATATATATGTTTTTATTTTCAGAATAAAGATTTCAAAATTATATATATTTATTTATTGAGTAGTATACAATATTCAATTACATTTTTGAAAAAATTAACAATAAATATAACAATTAAATATAAAAAATAATCAAATATTTATTAAATTTGTTTCTTAAATCTCTTTTTCAATTGTTGAAGAAATTGTCTGCTTATTGAGAATGATCTTAATACTTAAAGGCTTCTAATGATATAGATATTATAATATCTTTAATAAATAATTCATTAATTAGTCAGTTTTTTAATATATTTTTTGTAAAATATATTCTTAGATTTTAAATTATGAGGTTTTCAGAATAAAGATTTCAAAATTTAAACATTTTATTATAAATATATATTTAATCAGTCATATACTATAATCATTATATTATTTGATAAAATAAACAATACAAAATAATTATAAATTTAAATAATTTTTAAATTTATGTCTTAAATCTCTTGATTGTAATGTTGATGAGTTATTTTCTCTGCTTATTGGGATATGGTCTTGTGATCAGGTTGGGCATTGTATCTTTTATATATCAAGAAAATATAAGTTACTAAAATATTTAATATACTTGTATCATCAACATCTCCAGCTATTCCTTCATTACTTATTATTATATTATGCAACAAGCATATAGTTTTGATAATAATTTCAATGCTATTGACACTAATTTCAATTGGTCTACTAAGTATTTCGAACTTCTTTACAATCCCTCCAAAGCTCCTCTCCACACTGACACGTGCATGGGAGAGTCTCATATTATATTCTCTTTCCTCTAGAGATAGACCATTTTTTGGATAAGGTTTCAGGAACCCTGAATGAAGTAAGAACTCCTGGGAAATCTAAATAATTATATATTAAATTGTTGGAATATATAAATTTAATGTACTCTTTCCCAATCTTTTCTTGTAGGCTTTGGCATATAAATATCTTTGCCAGCATTCCAAATTGCCCTGCATACTGATTTAACAATGTATGCAACACAGGATTTGGATATCCTTAAGCTATAAGATAATTGGGAGAAGGACATCCCAGTTATTAAATATCTTTTATGAATAAATATAGGATAATTAAAATATTTTCATTACCTTAATGTCAAAAATAGCCTGTCCTCTGCATCCACTTGTTTATTGAAATTAGTTATTTTGGGATTGATATCATCATGAATCATATTTAGAATGACTGAAAAGGTAGACCTTTTCATTCTCGTATAATTAAAGAACTGAGATGTTGTTAAATCACCTTTCAGTGTAACATACTCAGAGAATAAATTTCTTTTAATAAATATTTCTGAAGATTTTCCTCTGAACTCCCTCTTATTTTTATGTTGTAATAATATATATAACGCCATTAACTTTTCATTATCTAAAGTTATTAACTTTATTTTTTTTTACAAAATAAAAATAATTTAAAAACGCCGCTTCAATTTAAACACAGCAAGCGTTATGTTTTTTTATTAAAAAAGTACGGCAAAACGCTACTGCTCAATTTGTGCGCACTAATTATATTAAGGCCATGAGTGCATATAACACCTGTGATATTTAGTGAAAAAACTAAACATAACACCTGCTATATTTTTTTAGTGAATAAATTAAATATTGCACATTCATTTAATATTTTTATTTCCTTGTACCCGCGATATTTAAAATCATCCATTTTATAAAAAAATTGGATTTTATTTTTAAAGTTACTGAATTATACATTAGTTTATATTTCAATAATTAACCAATTAGCAATATTGTTTTAATTTATCAGATAGAGATTCCTAAAGTACATGCTTATATTTTTTATATATTAAATTTAAATAATAGGTGTTCACTGGTTAGAGCAAAATTTTGAATATACTTCTCTGCTATAAATTTACTGATATGGAATGCACAGAAACAGAAAGTACAAAGGTAAACAATAGTTTATATTTCAATAATTAACCAATTAGCAATATTGTTTTAATTTATCAGATAGAGATTCCTAAAGTACATGCTTATATTTTTTATGTATTAAATTTAAATAATAGGTGTTCACTGGTTAGAGCAAAATTTTGATTCTACTTCTCTGCTATAAATTTACTGATATAGGAGGTACAGCATAAGAGATAAAGGTAAACAATTTTTTTAAAACCTAATTTATATATGACATCAGATATTTTATGGTACTAAAAGAGTGGATTATGCATGCTCCGGGGTATATGATGCGTATGCTACAATCTGTTGCCTCTCTACACTCATTATATTTCTAAATTGCCTTTCATATGCCTGGGAACCAACCACTGTTGATAAATCTGAAAAAAGGTCGTTTAATGGTGAATATTTGTTAACGACTCTTTTTATCTTTTGATTTAATGATTCAAGCCGGTTATTGGTTAGATTGAGGAGATGTGGTGACTCATTTCTCCAGTATATCATCCATTTTTTCCGGATATGATGCCAATTAATATTAAAATATAATGACACTAGAGGCATGTCTAATTCAATAAGTTTTGAATGTAGATCATTGTATATATCCTCTGTCTTGCTATAGACTATTTTTTGTAATATATCCAGTACTATCTTAACCTCAGATGAGGTTATATTTCTTTTATCCACTGTAATTTCTCTCTTAAATATTCTAAGAGCATGAAATATACAGATATGTATGCTCGGCCCAGGAAAACTATCATAAAAGGCATGTCTATCTGCCATATCTTTATCTGCAACAATAACCTCCAGATCTTCCAAGTTATTATTATGGAATTTCATATAATCACACATCGTTTTGACACACTTATAGCTCCCACTTTGTACAAGCCAAAGTGATACGATTTGTGACTCACCATTACCATCAACAACCAAAGTGATGAATAAAGGCATTCCATAATTATTTAATTTGTAGGTAGCATCTACAAACATAACTTCAGGAAATCTTTTTAGAGAGTATTCTAATTTTGTAAATGTCTATATAGCAAGGTCCTATCTATTAAAAGCACCATATCCTGTAGACGTTATAAATCTTTTTAAATATCGAAAAGTTTATTATTCTTGCAAATATGGTGGCACAATTCAAAAAAGCAACTCCAAGGGTATCAGAAATTCCTCAACATTTCGCAAGAAGTGTTCCTTTAAATTTACATTATACCCTTAAACATAAGGACACTGGACATTACTTAGAAATTGTGACCATGGTTGATGAGCACTGTAATCATGATTTAAGTATAATTATACATTATAATAAATTAATATAACTCATAAATAGATAGTATTACTTTCCAATCCTTACCTAAACAAAGAATGCTTTCTGTGGAGGAAAGGCAAATAGTCGAAAATTCGTTAAAACTAAAGGCAAACAAGCTAAAAATTCAGGAATCTCTTCTGAAAATGGGTAAAAAAATGACACTTAAAGATATACATAATGTCCAGACAAAAATTAATAAAACCAAGACCAATGACTTAGCAAGTATTTTTGAACTATTAAAAAGAGATAAAGGAGCCATTGTTGAGGTTGCTGAAGAAAATGATGTATTGCTAGGTATTTTCTTTCAGGACAGGATAATGCAACAAAATCTAAAAAGATTTCCTGAAGTTATGTTTGTAGATGCTACCTACAAATTAAATAATTATGGAATGCCTTTATTCATCACTTTGGTTGTTGATGGTAATGGTGAGTCACAAATCCTATCACTTTGGCTTGTACAAAGTGAGAGCTATAAGTGTGTCAAAACGATGTGTGTTTATATGAAATTCCATAATAATAACTTGGAAGATCTGGAGGTTATTGTTGCAGATAAAGATATGGCAGATAGACATGCCTTTTATGATAGTTTTCCTGGGGTGAGCATACATATCTGTATATTTCATGCTCTTAGAATATTTAAGAGAGAAATTACAGTGGATAAAAGAAATATCACCTCATCTGAAATTAAGATAGTACTGGATATATTACAAAAAATGGTCTATAGTAAGACAGAGGATATATACAATGATCTACATTCAAAACTTATTGAATTAGACATGCCTCTAGTATCATTATATTTTAATATTAAGTGGCACCATATCCGGAAAGAATGGGCGATATACTGGAGAAATGAGTCACCACATCTCCTCAATCTAACCAATAACCGGCTTGAATCATTAAATCAAAAGATAAAAAGAGTTGTTAACAAATATTCACCATTAAACGACCTTTTTTCGGATTTATCAACAGTGGTTGGTTCCCAGGCATATGAAAGGCAATTTAGAAATATAATGAGTGTAGAGAGGCAACAGATTGTCATACGCATCATATACCCCGAGCATGCATACTCCACTCTTTAACCCCATATGCTTTCAAGATTGTTTTAACGAAATTTTGCTACATAATCAAATTCAAATATTCAATATGGATACTATTTTAAACCAAGGATTCATCTGCGAAAAAGGTGTTGAATTTAAGGTAACATTGGATTCTTGTACCTGTGGATTTTTGAAATGTATCAAGCTTCCTTGTCGCCATATATTAGCACTTCATGCTACATCAAAATTCGACATTTATCTTAGTCATCTTTGTGGTGAGAGATGGACTAAAAAATATACGCAAGACACATTATTAATGCCACCAGTAAACACATCACAATCATACCTAAATATCTCAAAACATGATACTATTCCTTTAACAAAAAATTTATCTATCAATGTTAAATTTAAAAAGGTACAAAGAATATTGCTGCCCTTTTCAGGGTTAATGTCACACCTTCCTCAAGAAATCTTTGATATATTTCTTGAAAAATTAAAAAAAAACTTGAAGATATTGTCCAAGGAGGAAAATATTTTGATGTTTTTGAAGTGGATCAAATGATTTTTCCAAATCAGTTATGCCCAAATTTATTAACAGTCAACAAGGTATTGTTATTTTTTGTAAAATAATTTTTTAATATTAAATATAGATACAAATGTAATGATTCCAGTCATAAAAACTACAATTATGACTGAGACTGAAATCAAAGATAATGACAAAACTTTGAAGAGGCTAAAAAGTATGAAAATGCCTCTCAAAATGAAAAAAAGAGGTAGGTATAGGCAATCCGACTTATCAGTGATAGGCCTTTCGAGGAAACAGAGGAAGTTTTCAGCAAGTAACAAAATTACATCTTATATAAAATAATTTAATAAATCTAGACAAATCTCAACATAATAATCCTCTTATTAAAAATGCTATCTCCAGCACGATGCCTCAAGTAACAAAATTACATTTATTTAAGTAAATTTTATATTTAAGGTAATAATATAATACCAAATAAAATGGGGTTCAAGTCACAACCTTGCAATACTCTTGCTAAAAATGCTATGTCAGGCCCGATTTTGTTGTCCTCAAGTAACTAAATTACATTTATATAAGTATTTTTTATATTTAAGGTAATAATATAATACCAAATAAAATGGGGTTCAAGTCACAACCTTGCAATACTCTTGCTAAAAATGCTATGTCAGGCCCGATTTTGTTGTCCTTAAGTAACTAAATTACATTTATATAAGTATTTTTTATATTTAAGGTAATAATATAATACCAAATAAAATGGGGTTCAAGTCACAACCTTGCAATACTCTTGCTAAAAATGCTATGTCAGGCCCGATTTTGTTGTCCTCAAGTAACTAAATTACATTTATATAAGTATTTTTTATATTTAAGGTAATAATATAATACCAAATAAAATGGGGTTCAAGTCACAACCTTGCAATACTCTTGCTAAAAATGCTATGTCAGGCCCGATTTTGTTGTCCTTAAGTAACAAAATTACATTTATATAAGTATTTTTTATATTTAAGGTAATAATATAATACCAAATAAAATGGGGTTCAAGTCACAACCTTGCAATACTCTTGCTAAAAATGCTATGTCAGGCCCGATTTTGTTGTCCTCAAGTAACTAAATTACATTTATATAAGTATTTTTTATATTTAAGGTAATAATATAATACCAAATAAAATGGGGTTCAAGTCACAACCTTGCAATACTCTTGCTAAAAATGCTATGTCAGGCCCGATTTTGTTGTCCTCAAGTAACAAAATTACATTTATATAAGTATTTTTTATATTTAAGGTAATAATATAATACCAAATAAAATGGGGTTCAAGTCACAACCTTGCAATACTCTTGCTAAAAATGCTATGTCAGGCCCGATTTTGTTGTCCTCAAGTAACAAAATTACATTTATATAAGTATTTTTTATATTTAAGGTAATAATATAATACCAAATAAAATGGGGTTCAAGTCACAACCTTGCAATACTCTTGCTAAAAATGCTATGTCAGGCCCGATTTTGTTGTCCTCAAGTAACAAAATTACATTTATATAAGTAAATTTTATATTTAAGGTAATAATATAATACCAAATAAAATGGGGTTCAAGTCACAACCTTGCAATACTCTTGCTAAAAATGCTATGTCAGGCCCGATTTTGTTGTCCTTAAGTAACAAAATTACATTTATATAAGTATTTTTTATATTTAAGGTAATAATATAATACCAAATAAAATGGGGTTCAAGTCACAACCTTGCAATACTCTTGCTAAAAATGCTATGTCAGGCCCGATTTTGTTGTCCTTAAGTAACAAAATTACATTTATATAAGTATTTTTTATATTTAAGGTAATAATATAATACCAAATAAAATGGGGTTCAAGTCACTACCTTGCAATACTCTTGCTAAAAATGCTATGTCAGGCCCGATTTTGTTGTCCTTAAGTAACAAAATTACATTTATATAAGTATTTTTTATATTTAAGGTAATAATATAATACCAAATAAAATGGGGTTCAAGTCACAACCTTGCAATACTCTTGCTAAAAATGCTATGTCAGGCCCGATTTTGTTGTCCTCAAGTAACAAAATTACATTTATATAAGTAAATTTTATATTTAAGGTAATAATATAATACCAAATAAAATGGGGTTCAAGTCACAACCTTGCAATACTCTTGCTAAAAATGCTATGTCAGGCCCGATTTTGTTGTCCTCAAGTGACAAAATTACATTTATATAAGTATTTTTTATATTTAAGGTAATAATATAATACCAAATAAAATGCGGTTCAAGTCACAACCTTGCAATACTCTTGCTAAAAATGCTATGTCAGGCCCGATTTTGTTGTCCTCAAGTAACAAAATTACATTTATATAAGTAAATTTTATATTTAAGGTAATAATATACCAAACAATATGGGACTGGATATGAAAAAAGGTACAAGCACTGAACCCCTAACTTTAAAATTTGCTTTTGGTAGGTTGTAATATACACTAGTTACTATACATTTTATTTATTAAAAAAGGTCCATATTCTTCTAATAAGCAACAGAGGGGAAATACACGTATTCCATTTTTTAGTTTAAAATATTTAATTTATTTTAGTGAATAAACTTGTCCATAATTATCAACCTCTCAAGATTCCATTTGTTTTCCAGCCTACAACATCAGAATGGGAAAAATATCATTCTGATAAGTTAGGCATGACTTTGATTGTGTCGCAAAATACTCAAAATCAGAAATCATTAAGCTTTGGGGATCCAGATAAGGTTGATCCAATTATAGGTGATGGAAACTGTTTTTTCAGGTATTTTATTAATAACAACTTATAATTCTAAATATTATTTTAGATGTCTTAGCAAGGAAATCAGTAATGATGAGCAATATCATCAAATAATCAGGAGTGTTATGATATCCTTTATGGTTCAAGAAAAACATATAAATTTCTTTAGCGGATTCATAGGGGATAACACAATGGATTACATTGTGAAAAACAAAATGGGTTGCAATGGCACGTGGGCCACAGATATTGAGATTTCCTGTGCAGCTACATTGCTTCAAACAAACATCTTCGTTTTTTATAATGACAAATGGCTTTTATTTCATCCATTATTTATTATTCCTGAAATAAATAAATTTATTGGTTGTATCTATATAAGAAATTTAAATTATCATTATAGTATAGTTTTATCCTGTAAATAATATATTATCAAATCATTTATAAATATATATGCCTGAGGCATTTTTTATATTTAAATAAAAAGTATTATCTAGTCAACTAATTGTATTTGTGCATAAAAGTATATTTGTAACCTATCATGTAAATAATATATTATTTATTTACACAAGTATTAGTCAATCAACCAATTTATTAAAAAAAAATAATTGCTTAAATCTTAATATCAGGTGGAAAACCCACATAATAGGCATAATTAGGTGGGGTCTATGCAATCCCAAGCTACACCACTATAAATGCTGAATAATCAAACAAAATTAAAAATTATTTTGCAGATATACACTTTACCTACAAATATTAAGCTAAAATTTATACAAAAAAAATAGGTAATAATATTTTTTTATACAACTAGAGTATGTATAGCCCCTCACCCCTCCATGCTATAAAGGATTAAGTATTTTTTTCCTGTATTTATCATTTTAAATTATTTTATGAAAGGTAAAGAATAATTTTCTTGTCAGTTAGAACAATATAATATTAAATATTAGAAGGTTTGACTATTGGTCATAGTTATTAAATACAAATATCAGTATTTATCCATGTATAATAAATAAAATTTGAACAAAAAAGATTAATGCCTCAAAAGTTGTAGTGGTAGGAGGCTTATAATTTAAGAAACCAGATAAATATAAAAAAATGTTTTCAAGGAGGCTTATAATTTAAGAAACCAAATAAATATAAAAAAATGTTTTTAATTCTTATTTATTAAAAAAAATATGAGTCTGAGATTAGGACAAGGCAATTAAAATTTTATAAATTAATATTTTTTGATTAAATATTAGGGTGTTTTAAAAAAAAATTGGGTTCAAATTATTTTTTAATTTGCAGATTATAAAACTAAAAATAAATTTTATGTCAAAATACATTAAAAAATTGTACCATATAAAACTTGTGAGTATATTTTTAGGAGTCTTTTGTTATAAATAGTTTTATTATTTTTTTTGTATGAGTCATGAAATATTTTTTTTGTTTGAAATTTTATTTTTAATATTTTTTTTTGTTTCGCGCAGTCATCTTGAACGTCATTATATAAATATTTTTTTTGTTTGAAGTTTTATTTTAATATTTTTTTTGTTTCGCGCAGTCATCTTGAACGTCATTATATAAATATTTTTAATATTTATTATGTAAAAAAAAAATAAATAATAATTTAATATTTATAAAAAAAAATAATAATAATCTTATATAAACTAAAAAAAAGTGGAAATTCATCATATTATTATCAATTATATTTTTTTATTGTTTTAAAGAAAAATAAAACCAATTTATTCAAAAAAAAAAAGGGGTAAAAAAATAAATAAA